CCTCTCTAATAAATTAAGAATCTGACCATACCCTCAAGGATCCATGACAAAAAAGTCAGGGAGGGAAGACAGGAAAATGAAGAAAAAAGAAGAGTAAAAAGCAATAATACAATTTTTAAGAAAGGTATCTAAAGCATCCATGTTTGTTTGCTTTTGTTTTTGAGACAGAGTCTGGCTCTGTTGCCCTGGCTAGAGTGCCACAGCATCAGCCTAGCTCACAGCAACCTCAAACTCCTGGGCTCAAGTGATCCTCCTGCCTCAGCCTCCCAAGTAGCTGGGACTACAGGCATGCGCCACCATGCCTGGCTAATTTTTTCTAAAAAATTTTTAGCTTTCCAATTAATTTCTTTCTATTTTTAGCAGAGACGGGGTCTTGCTCTTGCTCAGGCTGGTCTCGAACTCCTGACCTTGAGCGATCCACCCGTCTCGGCCTCCCAGAGTGCTAGGATTACAGGCGTGAGCCACGACGCCAGGCCAAGCATCCATGTTTTTAATTAGAAAGAGGGCATACAGCTTGCTCAAGGCAGACAGGCTTAAAATTTCTCCCCCCCACTCCATTTTACAGATGAGGAGACTAAAGCCCAGAGAGCGGAAGTGACTTGCCTAAAGTTATACATCAAGTTGCTAACAATTAACCAAAATTAAAACTCAAATCTGCTTGTTCACAGTTCAACATGAATTTTCTACATCATAACACTTTTTTCTACACTGTATTGTTAACTGAAGAAAATGAGCTATTATTAATATATACTTCAATTCTTTATTATATATTTAAAAAGGAAGTAATGAGAAAAAGGAGGAGGCTTTTGAAGCCTGTATGCATATACCACACCACACTACCTCAATTCTGAGACATTTGACTTTAAGATATAGTATCCATTTTGCAAACATTTTGAAGTAAATACAGACACTGTAAAATACATCATTTCAAAAAATGCTAAAATATGAAAACATACATCTCTAAAGCAAGAAAACGTAATATAATTTACCCTGTAAAGACACACAATAATCACTGTCATTTATTTATAGGCAGTGTCACAAGGCACAAACACTGGGAACAAGAGTCCCACCTTTCAAAGGTAACAAACAGTTACTAAATACCTAAGGTTATGTGGAATTTTTTTCAGTTGTAGGTTATGAATACAAATCAGTCCTTCTTGCTATTTGTCTCATATGCATGAGTTCTGGAGTTAGACAAAGCAAGGTTTGAATCTGCCACTTAGCTCTCCAACCTTTAGAGAGTTACTAACTTCTCAGCCTCATTCTTATCTGTGAAATAGGATACATACACTAGAGGATTATATGAGAATTAAATGTGATAATTTATTTAAGGAATATAGTACAGTACATAGATGAAATAAGAATCACATTAATGTTTCCTCCCACAAGCCCTATGGGCCAAATGAAAGTACACTAGATACTAGATTAATTTACCAGATTCCTCTCTCTCCATTTAGGAGATTGGAAGAAATCTGTACTGATGCTACGGCACATACTACTAGTTTGCTTGGGAATAATTATTTGATAAGAGAAGTTTATTGTCTTGAAACAACGAAGTAAGGGTATAAGGCCAAAAGAAACAGTTAAAAATGACTCAATTCTATGAGTGGTTTGTCATGTTTTTTTTTTTTTAACCCTTAAATTCAATTATTAAACTCTAAGAAAACAAACGTTCAGGAGAGCCAAGACCGTATCTCCATGATTCATACATAGTACATTAGTAACCTGATCTCTCAAATTAAGCAAATGCCATCTTTCAGTATGGGCAGTTTCAGTTTCTACCAGTGACAACCCAGTCATTTCCAAGACGAGATCATGCCTACCAAGGCAGCTCTTATGGAGCAGGTTACTGAAATAAGACCACCTTTTCTCATACCTCAAGTTCAGACTAGCCTACTCACATACTCCCTCAACTCATTTCAGTTGAATGGTTATCCTCTTAATTATAAAAACAATGCTTGTTTTTTAAAATTTGGAAAAATACAAGAAAGTGCAAGCATTTTAAACCACCTATGATCTTTCCAGCCAAAGACTAAAACATAACAAGGGGCCATACCATCATCTTTCCTGTGAATTTTATCATAATAGTGATCACACCAAATTTTTAAATTTGTATGGAGTACTTGTCACTAAGTACAAGTAACTACCAGTCCATATATTAATCCTCTCATTCCAGCTTTCTTGAGACTAAATTTACATTACTTTTTTCCCTAACTCAATAGTTTCTTCCCAATAATTGTTCTTCTGAGTCTCTCAGCTACGTATTTTGTTGCTGATCACTTCCTCTTTCTTAAAACTCTATTCATCCTGGGTTTCTCTAAATAGTGTATTCCTCAATATCTACAAAAATCTCTTCAACTAATCCTTTTCTTTCTAACCATCTCTTTTTCTATAAACTCCTGACAATCTCTAAATATGGATAAGACCCGACTTTTTGAGTTTTCTCGTCAATTTTGAATCTCCAGCACTCAGTATAGTGCCTGACATCAAGCAGATTTTCAATTAACATTTACTGAACTACCCCTTGCTAGCTGTGTGACCTTGAGCAAATTAAATCTCTCTGAATCTTATGACCCTCATTTATAAAATATAGATAATCAAAAGAATGAAATCAAGGTATCAGCTAAAAGAAAATCAAAAAAAAAAAAAGATGATACTTGGAAAGCTCAAAACAGTATCTGGCACAAAACAGCAATCAATAAATTTTTCTATTATTATCAATATAATCTAGTACAGGACTCAAAAATGTTTCTGATTACTATATATGGTTGACCATCAAATCTACCTCTCAATAACCCAATTCACTTTGACTACATTCTCTTACCATAATTATCAAAAAATGTTTTTGTGCTCTTTCCTTTATAACCTATCTCTAATACATTATTAACTGTTCTAATTCTCCCCTCCTAGCCACCATACAGAATCATCATTTATCAGCTAAGCTGCAACAGGCTTAGTTGATTTCCACACCCCTAAATCTTTATTCAAATCCTCAATTCTCCTTGAAAACCATTTTTAATTTGTCACTCTTATCCATAACTGCTTATACCATGTCCAAACTACTGGAATGTCATCCTCATGTCTTCTAATAACCCATATCCCAACTCCTAGAGTTCAGATGATGGCTCAAAACTCACCTCTTTCAGTAAACCTTCCCTGATTAACTCTACACCACTCAGATTACTTCTCTCTCCAAGTCGCCTCAGCACTTAGGTATTCTGTTATACTAAAGGTAAAATGTGATCACAGTGAATAGCATTACCAAGACATAACTTCCACAAAATTGTTTCTACATCCTAAAGAATGGTCTATTAGTTACAATGCTTTGCTGATCCGGTTAACAAGGAAACATCTTAAACGACAAATGCTCTCTTTGGTTTCTGTCCTTGACACTATAACTCTTCACAATCCTTTTGTCCTGTCCTGAAACAGAAATTATATCTCCCATTTAAATCCACTGGAAATGTAGTAGTGGGCCACCTTCTTTCCTATTACCTTTTCTCTGCCCCGAAACTCTGCCCACACCTCACAAATAAAAATTCCAAAAGCTTCAAACAGTAAGGCAGTGGCAGTGATACACACACACCATGTGTTTCTTTCCTCTGAGTAAAAAGAACTTTCAATCAATCTATTTAGCTACAAAACTCTTCTCAAGGCTGAAAAATTTCCCAACAAACATAATACATAATCAAACTCCACTACATCAAAATAGTTGATCCTATAGAATAACAAGATCAAACCTACACATTAATTCTCACTTGTGTTACTGTAAGAGATCTTGCATCATTTTTATGTTATATCGCACACGCCTAACAAGATAACTGATAAACTTCCCTGGGGACCAGATTTTCTGAGAGTATATTCTGATGTTGCCTTAAACCAACACATTCTACTTTTGTTTTTTAATGTAAAGAATTCAGCGATGTCTCACTGCCCTCCTATCAAAAGCAAACAATACTTATACCATTACTTCTGAGAGGGTGAGTTTGTGTGCTGCTGAGGCAAAACAATGAGATGAACTGTCACGGAGGTGGGAGGAGGGATAGGGAATGAAAGGATGGTCAGCCTCAGAAGTGAGAATTAACAAATCCAAATGTTTGGCCCTCAAGAGTAGTGAATGAAGCTAGGAATCTGGCTGACTAACCCCTACCTCAGACTTTAGACTCTCCCGGCACTGCCAAAAAGGACGGTTGTTCTTGCTCAACTACTCTTAAGAGTCATAGCCTTTGGCTACCATACATAAATCTACCTCGCTTGTTCCTTGTATACTTTTCTCTTAGCAGGCCACATAACTCCTTCTAGTCAAACAATCTCCAGTCACACCTCATCTAAAACCTCCTCTCAGTCACCTTCCGGTTTCAGTAGGTGCCTCTACTCCAGATCCACATGTCCCCATTTGCCCACAGACCTTAACCTTCAGAACTCAAGCCCGTCCTCCCTTCTCTCCTAGCTTATTTCACCCAGACCCCTATCAATTCCTACTTCCAGAGCCAACCACACTCCCCGGCGTCGCGCCTTCTCCCTGGGCACCCTTTTCTGAGCATCACCCATTTCCCATCACTTTCTTCCTCCCTAGATCCGGAATCCTTCAACCACAGGCCTCCTTTTGCTGCCACCCTCCCTCGAGCACGCGAACCTGCTCCTCCGTTAACCACCCCGCCCCACCTTCGCCACCTCTACGCGGCCTCCCACCCCTGGCTGCGCCCCCAGGCTCCGCGGCTGCAAACCAGGCCCCTCCCTCCGTCACCCTCGCGGTCGCGACCCCCCAGAGGACAGCGGCCCGGCCGAGCCGCGCACAGACCACCAGGGCTGTAGCGGGCGCCCCCAGCTCTGGACAGAACATGGCAAGGGCGGGGGCGAGGGCGAGGGCGAGGGCGGGGCGGCGGGTCTTCGCCCCCGCCTCGGCCCGGCCTGCCGCCCGGCCTCCCGCAGCCGCTGACCCGGCCAGACGAGGAAGAGCCTGCAGCCCAGCCTCTATCGCCGGCGCCCCCGCCTCTCACCTCGACGCAGAGGCTCCGGCCTCGCTCTCCCTCTGGCCGTCCAGCGATGGCTGCGCCGCCGCCGCCGCCGTCGCGCTCTCCTCACTCGCTTTTCCACCGCCCCCGCCGGCTGCCGAAGAGCGGACGGGCAAGGGCACGCCCATTGGCTGAGGCCTGCACTCACGTCAGCGGCCCCGACCGCACCTCGGGATGTGATTGGCTGTCTTGGCGCCTCTTTTCCACGTCTGCTTCTGATTGGCTCTCTCTTGCACCCTTACCAGGAGGATCGCTCAGCCTCCTACCCGCTCCAGCTTCCCACCCCTCAACCGGGTTTCCATCTAGGCGGGAGGGGGGCGGGAGCGGACGCCCGCCAGACGCGAACGGCCAATGGGGGCTCGGAGAGAGGGCCGGGAGATGGGCCCTGAGGCCGGCCGCTGGCGGGGGGACAGCTCAGCCAATGGGCGCGCGCCCCACATCCCGGTCCAGGAGCGCCCCCGCTGGCCGCTCGCGTCCCGCCGGGTCTCCCCCAGGGCCACGCCCGGCTGCCCGTAGCGCTGGAGGGACGCCGGCTCCAAACGTGGGGGGCGTGAGGCGAGACCCGCGCAGGAGACCGCGGGGCAGCCATTGTGGCGTGCTAGGGCACTTCCTAGATGGAGCCCGGGCCCCTCCGGCCATTGCTGAGTGTGCAGGATCCGCTCGGAGAACTACCAGCTTGACGGGTCTGGTTCGGGTCGGCAAGAGCGGAGCCACGGCTCTGTGGAAGCTCCGCGGGGTGCCCAGTAGGGAGAGAACCGAGCCTGGGTCTCCTCCAGCCCCGCGGAACTGTGGGCCAAGTCATTCCATCTTCCGCTTACTCCAGAGTAATTATGTACAAAAGTTATCGATGGTAAGAGAAGTCAGCATGATGTTTATCTCTAGGGGGTGAGGGGGAATGTTCTGTGGGAAGGGGCACGAGGGAACCTAATGGGAGATGGAAACGGTCTATGTCTTGATCTGGGTGGTAGTTACGGGGTATATACATTTGTAAAGATAACATATGTAAAAATTCATCAATTCAGACACAAGATTAGTGCACTCTACACACTTTATGTCATAATATAACTCAGTATAATAAGAGGATCGTGAGAATTATTCTGTAATAACATTACCATAACCCTTTAGGCTCCGTGGGACTCCATGATATAAACAGTCCCCACTGGGATTCGGCTATCATTCAAAAACTGCAAATCATAGGAAGAAAAAAAAAAAAAGATGCGTGAGAAGTAAAAATGAGTGAAAGCTCTTGGCACGATGAATAGCACAAACGGTTGGTTCTTTAAGGATGGGCCAGGGTAGTACAGGGTAGTTTTTCTTTGCGGATTTAGAGCTTGTTCCAGTGGCTGCATCTGTTAGAAGCTAAAAGCAGTCATAGCCGCTGCATCTAATTACAAACTGCAAAAGCTTACTGAGCTGCCTACTTTGTGTCAGATGCAAGTTCTGAGCCCAGAAAACTTTAATTCGCATGGTTTCCGTCTGTGGCTTCTGCCTGTAAGGAGCTCACAGTACTGTCATTCTGGAGAAGGGCACAGAATACAAAGCTAGCACACTTGCTTACCCTTAGAGATGATACATTCCACTACTTTAAGCAAGACAAGTGTGCCTTAGAACCCACCCAGTCCAGTAGCAGAATTCTGAAACAGCCGTGGGTCAGGTGAAACACTTCTTAGAGTTGGATCAAAATATTCTCCCAAAACAAACATAAAATCTTTGGGCCAAATTCTAACCTATAAAAGGGCACCACTAACAAAACAGTTAAAGGTTACAGTATTCGTATTTGTTAATTTAGTCATTAAGTTGTTTAATTCAGATAAATGACTTTATGCTAAACTAGGCATATAAAGTTAGGTATGACAGTATTTTCCACAGAGCTAGGGTGTAATGGAGAGGCAGAAATAAACAATTCAGTAAAATACAGGATGAAGGAATACATGAAAAGAGGATCTAACCCAGCATGGGGGTTTGGGAGCCTCTTCCTACATGGAGCTAAGTTAACCAGTGCTAAGGTTGATCATCAGCATACTATCTACAGTCAGGCACTACTTCCAGAAAACACTTGCTTCACAGATTTTTTATTATTTGTACAAATATCTTAATTTTTTAAAAAAAATACCTATATAAGTACAAAAACATAAATTAATACTTAGTTCTGAGGGAAACACATTATGTAATTATTTAATCCCTTAATGAGTACATTATAATTTTCCAAAACAGCTGTAAAGTTGAGAGCATAAAGGGATCTCAACAAGTGTATGAAACATGTGCCTCCAGCAGAGACCCCCACAGATGGACAGAGTGCTTTCTGGAGGAAGACTTAAAAATAAAACAATGGCCTACTCTCCAAGATAGTACAAGTTCATGGGTAGGGCATGTTGTATGGCCAGAATCCTCCATAATGCACCATAATTCTTAAACAAATGCAAAGAATTAATATATATCTATAAAAATTGATACTCTTAACAAAGGGCAATGAAGGATTTTGCCCCAGAGTTTAACTTAAAAAATGTAATAACATCAAAAAATATAATTATTCATTCAACTGCCTTTCCTGTCTGTCTTCAAGAGCCCTGAAAATTGGGCTGCCACATATTGGTATCAACTGTATTGTTAACTTTATTTAAATATGAAACACCTGTATATGCTTTTGATCTATGCTATAGAAACAATGTTTGGTAAATGAAAGTAAATTACACCAAGCCAAAAAATGTGCTATTATAGTTTATAGCCTAAAGAGAGATACCATATGTTATTGAGAAAATACATAGAAATAAACATCAAAACCAGTATGCTACACATAATATAGTTGTAGCTATTTATGAATCTCTCTGAATTTTATAATTTCCTTCAAAACAGAAAACAAGTAAGGCCAAGCACTATTTTTTTAATGCAAATACTGCTCTGAGGAAACATACTTCTTATGACATGTATCATTTTCTAACAGTGTATTCTTCTGTCAGCCTTATTCAATATATTTAATAGTTCTGATGAGGTGATGAGGTCTTCTCTCTATTCTCACAGCAACCCTCTGGAAGTATTCATCTGTTCATCTGAATTTTGTAGAAGAGAAAATTGAGGCTCAATGAGACACCTAACTCGTGCAAAGTCACACAACTGTTAGGTGACAGAAGTAGGATTGAAATCTAGGTCTCTATGATGGGAAGCCCCATTATCTTTCTACTATGCTACATTTGCCTTTTCCAAAACAAGATCAAGTTGTTCTGTCTTGTCCTTAGACACGTTTGTATTCCTCACAATGAGTAGCACAGAATCTTACGTCCCTCATGGAATTTGTGAAATTAATAATTATATTCACCATGGCTTTATCATTACAGATTACTTGACAGTTGTAAATGTGAACTATTTAAAAGTAACTATTGCACATTAAACGTATTTGTTTTGATAAAACTAGAAGGAATACAACTTTCTTTGTAGTTGCAATGGAGAACCCATCACAGCTGTCTAAAACACATCAGAGATGTTCACTCTCGTAGCATAGAAAGAGTTACAGGCAACTTTTCTTAAATGAGCCAAATTCTAGTGAGAGCAGTTATTCTCTGTTGTTAATTTGGTGATCTCTATCTTGCTCTACACCCAATCATGACATCCAGAATTGATCTGCTTTAGTAATATTTTTAAAGGTTCTTAGGAAAAACACAAACGTCTCCAGTAGTACATTGATTGACAGTCTGGGCAAATAGACACCAGTTCCTGTGGCTTCATTTCCTCATCTCCAAAAAGTGGGTGAAACTCAGTATCTATCTGCTCTGGGTGTTTCAGATCTATGAAATTAGTTTGGTTTTCACCTGGAGGCGAATGATCTGACTCTCAGATACTCTACAGGTTTAATCTAAATGGAACAAAAATAGAGCTGCTATGTTCCTGGCTCTTCTAAAGCACTCTTTGTGCCCTGACCATTGAAGTTGTGGTTCTCAACTGTCTCCTCTAGATCTTGTTCATTGATAAAGGTGTCCTGATGTTACGTAGCTCCCAGGTATTGGTAAGAGAGGCACAGTTTTGTAACATTTCTTTAGATACCATCTATTGTCAATTTCCCAAGCATAGTTGTGAAAACAAGAAACCATCTTGCTGGCCAGTTTCTTTCCAGCTGGTCGTTGTTTCATCCTTCTTTTGTGGGTGGCATTGTCATGGTTTGGATCTCATTTCAGGGCAGTAGTAACTGAATAGAACCCTGGGAATAATTCTTTTTCTGATCTCCTTTTTTTCTTTTTATTTCTTCCTTAGGGATTTACTCCCTTTGCACATGAGTCAGAACAGCTGCTACAGATGCCCAGAAATGAGAATCACTAGTTTGTCATCTTTATTCTAACATCATAGCATGTCCAACGTGCAAGCCACAGATTCTAACTTGCCTATTTCCTGCTCTTTGGGTGGTGCTTTCTGAGAGCAGTACCTGAAGTGTCTAAGGTCATTCCAGTACACCCTGGAGCTTCTAGGGTATGGCCTCCTCCCAGATATATTTGCTAGCAAAGGCTGCAAGCTGGGAGAACCTTAGGCAGCCAACCACACCTATATGTAAAAAAAATTGTCAGTGTATACAAAGGTATGACTCTTCGAGGAAATAAAACATATTTGACTCATTTGCTAATCTCCTTCATCCAGAATAGAGAACAATGTACAGATTATAGTTTTTCTATAAGCAAAACCATTGAATCACCCTGTTCTGGTATTTTTTAGAGCCAATTGTAGATTTTTTTTTTCTAATGAAATCAGCAGTGGTTGACTTGAGAATAGAGCATAGTGTTTAAGAATTCTGACTCTAGGCGGGCGTGGTGGCTCACATCTGTAATCCTAGCACTCTGGGAGGCCAAGGTGGGAGGATCACTTGAGCTCAGGAGTTCGAGACCAGCCTGAATAAGAGCAAGACCCCAGTCTCTACTAAACATAGAAAAAATTAGCCTGGCATGGTAGCATGCACCTCTAGTCCCAGCTACTCGGGAGGCTAAGGCAGGAGGATCCCTTGAGCCTAGGAGTTTGAGGTTGCTGTGAGCTAGGCTGACGCCACGGCCCTCTAGCCCTGGCAACAGAGCGAGACTCTGTCTCAAAAAAAAAAAAAGAATTATGACTCTAGAACTGAACTTCTGGGTGTAG